CCAGGTGATGATCTGAAGTCATGTCAGTTCCTCTCCTAGTTTTCACGCCTTCCATTGTCCTTCTGAATTTTTTATTGATACAAATATGATCTATCTAGTTCGCTGTGGTGTGATCCTGTGAGACCCATGTAGCTTTACGTATGCGTTTGTGTAGTAATAATGTACCACCTATAACCAAGTTGTAGAATGGACATAGGTTTGCAAATCTCTCGCCTTTTTCTTTTCTCTCTCCCAGTCCATGTCGTCTCTTGATATCTTCATATCCGGTGTTGTCCATTCCGACCTTGGTGTTTAGGTCTCTCATCAGGATAGTCGGTTCTTTTCTTAAGTACTTCGTTATAGTTGATTGCAGCCTCTCATAGAACTGATCTTTATTGTCGTTGTTACTATTATTGGTGGGTGCATATCACTAGATAACATTCAACGTAATGACCTCTTTCTTTGTTTTGCATGATGCTTTGGTGATTCTGGATCCGTGAGATTCCCATCCTATACACACACTACGTACTTCTTTGAACAGCATCACAGCAACTCCCTGTGTATGTGGAGCATTTTCCTCTTCGTGATCGGGGTATAGCAGCATTTCTTTCGTATCTAGTCTTTGCTGTCCGGCTTGGGTCCAAGGGATTTCGTTGATTTCCAGCCATGCCAATTTGTATCTCCTCATTTACCTTGCTATTTAAATGGTCTTTTCGGTCTCTCACATTGTTCAGACGTTCCATGTACCTATGAAAATTGTTGCTGTGGTTGTTATAAGGGAAATCGGCCTCTTGAATTCCGAAAAATCTCAGATTTCATCCTTTATTATGTGCAGCCGAGCACTGAGATATTTCTTGTCCATGTAGTGGAGTTGTGAATGAAAACATTCTCAACGGCAGTAGAAATCCTCATATCCCACCTAATTACGTTGTTTCATACGATTGTCCTTTCTCTTCAATTCTATACGGTTTCGTTGAAGGTGTGTTAATCCCCAGTCATTAAAACATCTGTGTCTGACGTCATCCGATCATTCTAATTTGCATGACACAGGAACTAGAAGCGTACATCGATGGAACATCAAAAGAGTACAAAAATCCAGTAGAATGACATAAAAACCTAAAGCCCATTAAATCAAGTACAGGTTTCCATTGATAACGCCACATATAACGCATCACAGCATAAAACAAAAAGTAAGACAAGCGAGTATTACATATTAGTTTTCTGTGTTACAGAAAATGTTCCTTCAAACCGAGCTGTGACACTTAGTACGTCCAACAAACTTTAAATTGATTTTCAGTGCATATTTCATCCTTCTAACCTTCATCTAATATTTTCTGTTCTGATAATTAGAAAGCAAAAGCACATTGCGCATTCTTTACACAATCTTTTATCTGGAACTGTAGAAGCAAATATATTGTATATTGGATATTGATCCATGTATCTAAGTTACAGTTTGCACCGCTTGTTGCGCTATACATCAGTTTAGTGAGTGTAATTTGTATAAATACTATTTGTCTCGTGTTTGGTCGCAAATGGAGAGAAAAGGCTTATCCTGACTTCACGAAAAATTTATTCCTAATATAAATTCAAATGGGCAGGTTTCACTTGACACCGATCGGCGTGTTCCTTAATATTTTCGGTGTTCAGCTTTTTATTTGGTAGTCGCAAAAATAGATCGTATGTAATATTCAACATGCAATAGAACACAGTAATCCTCCCAATTCATGGTATTGCTTAGATTTGCTGTCATTTTCGAAGTAGTAACGGAGAGTGATTATACTATATACTCCAGTAAATAGTTCGTATTTTATAGTTTAGTATGAAAAACTAACCTTAATATATTTATAGTGTATAGTATTTGATCTTGGTTTCGGTCGTTATTAATAGGAATGATAGCCCGCTCGACTGTGACAACCTCTTGAGCTTACTTTTCACTGAAGATCTGATTTCTCCTTAAAAGCGCCCACTGGTGAAACTGGTACCAGTCGCCTACCACTGGATGGGAAAAACGAAATCCTAACCGAAGCTTGGTTTTAGAACCTTATTGCAGTGGCCTCCAACATGATTGTTTTTGCAGAGAGTAGAAGGGAAAAACTTGTTTCTGCACACTGAACACTCGGGTATGTTCGCATCCGCAATATAACGTGAACTTTCGGCTTGGATGCGAAATTCAATGTAGGGTCTGCCGTGGGTGTAGCACAATACCTAAAGCATATCTTAGTCAAAATGGTTGAATGTTCAGCAAAACAACGATTACTCTCAAAAGTCTTTGAAAGCTGTTGAATAGTAGTGCGCAGTTGTTTCCAAGTCATAACTAACTATTACTCCCAGATCTTCTTGTTTCTGCACACGTGGAAGCTACTCACCGTTGATCCTTATGCTGGTAACCATTGCCGTGTCCAGTGTGGATTAGTGAACTATTTCCATCGTTCGTCTCGAAACCTAAAATTCGGAATCATTTAACTAATCCGTATAAATTTGTTAGGAGATTACGATTATCAGTCTCATTACGTGCTCTCCAAACTTTGACACCATCTGTGGACAACAATGTCGATAACTTAAGCAGTTTTGGTAATCCATTGACTCAGAGAAGAAATTGTGGACCTAATATGTTACTTTGGTGTACACCACTTCTAAATGGTTTCCATACGTATGATGTCTTAGCAACAGGATCGGTGAGAAAAGCTGAGGTATTTTAGGTTATCCTTGTATTTACAATCCTCTGAGCTCATTCCAACACGTACGTTTCACATTTCATACTAGAATTCCTCGCTTTACTTTCGTATTCTGAACGTGGTGGGCGACAAGATATAACAGGTATTCCTGTCTAGTCTTCAAAATAGCTTTGAAAGGTCCCCAAAAAATCCGCAAGTCTTAAGCACCTGCTGCTTTGTTATCACCCTTAAATTTGAGACCACCGTTTACTGTGACTCGTAAATCCTTACAGTTACCAATGTTATGTAAATGGATTTGATTTCTGATGTAATTATGCAAACGATGTGCATTACAGTACTTGTGCTATTACTTGTCTTCAACGACCACCAAATCGTCCACTCATCCAGAGGGTTCATATCAACTTTTAACCCTATTTTATCATTATTGTATTCTAAAACTCTCAGATGTAAGTTATTAATAGCTTGCCTCGATCTTCGAGTTTCATTTAGTATGGATTTTGGGTTATTGTAAAGAACACTGAGCGACAAGTTATCTTTATAATTTTGTGGGTGTTGCTGCTTTAGATTACTAAATCATTATGATATTTCACTTAACGTGAGCGCATTCAATTTATTGTGCAGCTGTTTAAATTAATATCGGTTTGACTAGTGCATATTACAGAACTTCACTTCGCTTGTAATAAGATATTACTATTGTTACCGTGTCTGTTTCTCCATGCTCCAATATTCTATACAAAGTCATAGAATATGGTTTTTCCTCTTCATTTTAATAATTCTGATAAGTTTTGACTAAGGCATTACTGAATATCATCTATCCTAATCATAGCGTTGACATAATCAGTAGTATCGTTTTGTGATGATATTACTTCATTTGATGTACAATTTGTGTTTGTCGAACGTATTCTGTGAATAAAATATTTTTACTATTAAAAACATTCTTTCTGTTTTAAATTATTTATTAATATTTGATTTGAGTTTTTAAGCTATGTCCAGTCACGTTGTTGATGTATTGTGCTACTGTGAAAAAATCTGAGATTCTAACAATGTATCATTATAGTTTTCTGACTGCTGTGTATAAAATATTCAATGTTTGTAATATGATAGAGTGGTTGCATGCATGTAAAATGTACAGTTATTTGGCTGATCCTCTGGTTTGTTTGAATACATATACAAATCCCGTTAGTTAGTAAGCTACAACGTAGGACCAGGCACATATATGCATCGGTCCAAATTGTCACACCTCATTATCACAAGATGAACACAAAATTCATAGAGGTGGTCACTTCACTTGTAGTTATGTATAAAAGATTGTGAACAAGGATATAGTACAGGAAGAAAGAATCAGGTTGTAGGAGTAAATGTTTAAAGCAATTTTAATTTCACGGTTTAAGGGAAGACAAAGATTGTAAATACGAATCCCAACCAAAGTACGAATAGTTAAAATATATCGAATGGCTTTAGGTACACTGGCTACAGCTATAGCTGAATGTACACTTAACGCAAAGAATTTAATAACTGTCGGTATTATCTGTCGCAAGGTTCCAGTATTTTATTTGGGACATACCATAAATCTCTACAAACTTACAGGAACACTCATCTGAGGATTCCATGTTAAGGTTGAATTTGTGTTCCTCTATATTTCCATTTTTTGATTGACATTTGATTCATCACCATCCCTCCGCTTTATTCTGTTATCGTCTGTCACTGATAAATTCAATTTAGTCACCTTTACAATGTTGTGTCCACAAAAACAGAAATCTGGCAATGAAATTTCTGTATTCTCAACTGTCTATCCTGAGAAATTAGTCCAAGTTCCTAAATTTGATCATGAAATAAACTTTAAAATGATGAAAATGAAGGCAGCTTGTAGGGTTACGAGTAACTTATCATCAGTTTTGGATGATTTTAAAATGACAAAGCAAAGCAGCTATTCGTTTATTTCACCTATTCAAAGATTTGTGTATACAATTTCGTTTTACTTTGTCACTAAACGTTTTAAGTGAATAGTGCTCTAAAATAGGTTTCGCAAGTAACAGCGAGTAGATTTGAGCTCTTAAGCAGTAGATTCTTGTGCATGTATGTGCGTAATATCATATTTTAATCTTCTGTTAAAGCGAATTCGAAGATAACTACGACATATTTTATCTAAGACAGTAGATACTATATTATTGAAACACCTAAGTAATTTTCTTGGTCTGACTAGAAAAATGGTTGTGCATGTCAATGAAATAATATCAGCGAGAAGTATTTTTTGTTGGAATGTCTTTGTTTTTTTAAACAAGTATGAATAATGATTTGCTGTCTATCTACCTTGCAGAACTTTCCAAGGATCTATCCAGTCACACAATGGTGTTAAGTAAGTAAACCATTTGGACGGTTTTGACGTTCGTGCTTAGTTACCGCAGATCTCATTCGAAAACGTGCAGAACACAATGATGGGGAGATATACTCTCTTGAAGAAGTGGCTTTACATCAACAAAATCTTGAAAAGTAAAACGTTTGTTACATAATTTTAAAAAAAGGATTGAGCTTATTGAGAACTTGTGTAAAAGCCTTAGAATATTATATCTACAAAATAATCTCATTCCAAAAATCGGTATTGCTAATTACTTACTGATTTTTTGTTTCAGAAAATCTTTCAAAGCTGAAAAAACTAGAATATTTGAATTTAGCTCTAAATAATATTGAAAAAGTGGAGAACTTAGAAGGTTGCGAATCCTTAAAAAAGCTAGATTTGACAGTAAATTTTATTGGGGACTTGTTTAGTATTGAATGTTTAGGTAATGTGCATTTTCTTGAAGAACTGTAAGTTAGCTGTAAAAACTTTGTTTAATTTTCTTCTTATTTGTGTTGTAGTTATTTAACTGGAAATCCGTGCACAGAATATCCAGGGTATAGAGAATTTGTGATTGCTACGTTACCGCAATTAAAAGTAAAGATAGATTTTCTTTTTTTACATGTAAAGTTGCTAGATGGAGTGGAAATAACTAAATCGGAACGCATTATCGCATTGCAAAACTTGGAACGTATTCGTCCAATCATAGAAGAAAAACAAAGAGAGCACGGATTGAAAAGAGTAAGTGGGTGGTGAATTTTTATAATTAACTGATTATGAATTTCCGTACTACTTATTTAATACGAAGTTATTTCACAGAATTCTGAAAAGGTCGAAGCAGTACGAAGAAAAGAAAGATTCGCCAAGGCAAATACAGATTCCAGTTAGTAAGTTCGTAACATTTCATTCTAATGGTTTTTACCTAGTTTACGATATACTTCATTTAATAGTTAGTTTAGGCATAAATTTAAGATTTTTTCTGAGTCCCAATAACACTATAGTATAGATGGATTTTGCAGATCCGGATCTAGTAGGGTTTTAGATTTCCACAGCTGTTATTCACACAGTACGTATGACTCACAAATTAATGTCATAATAATATTAGGAAAAGTTTTTATCTTACCCGTTCCATCAGATAAATATAGTAGACTGATAAGTGTGGTTGATTTGACGGTAGAAACGAATATTAAAAAATAAACCTAACCGACCTGGCTGAATATACTATTTTACCTATTTTTATCTGCTGTAAAACGATCTTACAATATAAGTTGTTAAACCTAATTTCATAGTACCAAAGATATAGAGGTTGACAGTTTACTTATAAATGTCCATAATTGTTTCGGGCAATGAAGTAAGCCTGAACATATCGAAATAGAGGCAAATGCTCTGCATCTTTGTAGTCTGTTTTAATGTTTTTGTAACTTACTATTGTTATCAAAAGACACCTTGTTTACAATACATGAAAAATTTGTATAAAATAGGTGATATTATTTTTAGTAGCGTAAGGTAGAAACCATCTACGTCACCTTTTTTAGACGAATTCAAAGCAATATATTTTCCGCTTCAAATAATTATGGAAAACTGCATTCCTCATAAATGCCATTACGCTATTTGAAGATATCTTTTGAATAACTCTTATTTACCATGAAAATGTTTGGATTGTTTTATTGTATGATTTCTGTGTACTGTATTTTCAAAAACAAAATTTCATGGTGCTAAAATTTCCTTACTCTCCTTGTGCGGTGTTCCAAAATATTATTACGATCGTAATGTTTTTGTTTGTTGAACTCTACTTATCATATTCAAGTTTTCTATTCAAAAAAAGCAACATTCTTTTGCAGTAACTGTTTACGTTTTACGATACTCATGGGCTTCATTGCTTCGACTATTTTGTCAGGAGCTAAGAGCAGTTGTATCCCTCAGACCAGTGTTATCCGCTGGGGTCTCCTTGATTTCTTATTTCCGTTTATGGCTTCATAAGTGTTTTGGTTGGTTTGAACAGACATCATTGTATTTTCCATTGATCATTCGTCCAAACGTTCTCCACCTAATATTACCCTAATAAATGCAAATATTGCAAGTAAAACAATTAGAACTGATAAAAGCAGCGATTTTAAACCAATCTACCGGAAATGCAATGACATGTACTGACAATATCTTCATCCTTTTTTGGTTCAACACAATACTTTCGACTATAAACACAATCAGTCTGTTTTTCTAAACAAATGAAGACTTCTTGTGTATTATGTATTGAGCGAACAATTGGTTTCAATAACCTCATCATTAGGCTCTATAATTATGATAATTTACAAATGCCAAAATAAGGCATGTATTAATGAATTTCACAATGTTATGTGTTAAAAATGGTAAACGTTTACATCTGTTACGACATATATACTTCGAAATTGTGTTATTTGCAAATTAAAAAGGTTATTTAAAAAAGTTCAGAATGATTTGGAGTAGAGTGTTTAGTCACAATCAGTAGAATAGTATTATAGCCAAAATGAAAATGCGAAAAAATTGTGTGAATAAAATGCATAGTAGAATTTCATCTTGTCAATTGAGATAATAATCATAATAGTAATAATAATAATATTGTTGTGTAAATATAATATGTAATAAAGCGGGTGCTATCAAGGTAATTACAATAAACGAATCGGGAATGATGGGTGTGAAGAATAAAATAAAGGTAATCAAAAAATAATAGTAAGACCAAAAAGAGACTAGATATACCCTTTCTGGATACATATGTTTGGTTTTCTGGAGTTGATCCAGATAGCTTCGGCTATGTAGAGTAACCGTAATATAGCTCCTTGAGGTAGACATTTTGGGACTTGATATGAAATAGAGAGAGCTTCCTCTATTTTGATATAATGTACATTATCTACCAAGTCTGATAGTATAGTGCTGTTGATCGATTTAATGACTTCTTTTCCCAACCATGCTGGTACATGTTCACGAACACGCAGGGATAATGCTCTCTGAATACGGCCTATGTAACTAGTTCCACAGGAGCAGTTAGATTGGTATACACACATGGAGGAGTTCATCTTCGGTAACCTATCTCTGATTAGGTGTGTGAGTACTTGTTTAGTTAAGGAAATTATATGTATTTTGGCGGTGTGAAACGTCCTTTCAATAGATCTTTTAAGTCGACGTGTTAAAATGTCACCCGCTATATCCTCTTTAAAATCCAGTCTCAGACAGAGTTTTTTACTGCCTGTGTCAAAATTTCCTCTTTTTTAATACCTTCTACTAGGAATTCTTAAACGAAATTTGCTGGATAGCCATTATTTCGTAATGTGTTCTTTAGCACACCTAATTCACTATCCACACTGTCCTCAGAACCTAATAGCTTGATTCTTTGGCTGAGACATTTAATCAAATTTATTTTATATTGAAGAGGTGTGAAGCTTTGGAAATGGGTATACTGATTTGTCCATGTATTCTTTCTAAATATATTTCGTTTTATGGAAACGCCTATCCTTCTAGAAAATAGGACATCAATTATTATTATTATTATTATTATTATTATTATTATTATTATTATTATTATTATTATTATTACTATTATTATTTCATTACCGTATAAGAAAAAAGAAGTACAGCAATAAACAGAAATTAGTGTATGGCAGTGAAATAATAATAATGAGAAAGACAGTTCAGTTAGCAAAAGTACGGCCACAGAGAATTCTTCTACTTAAAGTTACATCCTTTTTTATGGAGAAAGTAAATTAAAGTTACATTAGGATCGCCATCGGCATCTTATCTGAGTCATATCCGATAACACCACTGTGTTGCACCATCTCTAGGACCCCAACCAGGGAATCGTGAAGGACTAACAGTAGCCAGTCTTGTACATCTTTCTTTCATACCACGACACCATGTCATACACTGACCACCTCTCCGCTTTCTCCAACCAGTCCCAAAGTTGGCAAATAATGCACGACGTGGAATTCTCTGGGACGACATTCGTAGAACATGTCCAAGCCACCAAAGTCGGTGTTTCAAGATAGTGACACCAGTTGAATGATCGTCTTTGCGCTCGAACACACGATGCCGAAGCTCTGCATTACTAACATGGTGTTGACACTGGATGTCAGCAATCCTTCGGAGACAGCGATGATCGAACACAGAGAGTCGTCTAACATCCTCAACTTGGAGAGGCCAGGTTTCACAAGCATAGAGCAAAACTCCTCTCACCGACGTGTTGTAGATCCGACCTTTTACAGCTAGACTGACATCACGAAGACGCCAAAAATGGCCCAGATTGACATAAGCCGCTCTGGCTCTCACTATACATGCATTGATCTCATCAGTCAGGCCACCACCAGCACTTATGCAGCTACCTAGATACACGAACTTCTCAACTACTTCTATCTGCTCACCATCCAGGGTGAGTACAGGATTAGAATCCTGCCAGTCTTGTAGAAGTACTTTGCAGTTCGAAGGTGCAAAGCACATACCGTACTTACGGACACTGGTTGCCAACTGATTAATTGCGGATTGCATGACTTGGGCATTATCGCACAGTAAGACAATATCATCCGCATACTCAAGGTCGAGAAGTCTTTCTCCAGGCAACAGACCCACACCGCCATTACTTACATCTATCAGAGCTGTTTCCAGATTGTCATCGATGGCAAGGTTGAAGAGGAATGGTGAGATTGGGCAACCCTGTCTAACCCCACTGATCGAATCGAATAGTGGAGAGAGGTGGTTGTTAGCCCTCACTCTGCCTGGGGGTGTTTGTATGTAGGGCTTTTAGGATGTTATTCAACTTCTCAGGCGCACTCTTCTTCAATAGACAATCCCAGAGAACAGTCCTGTCCAACGAATCGAAGGTAGCCCTAATGTCAAGAAACACTACGATCGTTGGCCTTTGATAAGTATGACGGTGTTCTAACATTTGGCAGAGAAGTGCCCAAGAAAGGATCTCACCATGCTGATGGGAGATCTAATCGCCAAAGTCGGATTAGACAACACCGGAAATGAAGATATTATGGGACGACATGGATTGGGGGAGAGAAACGAGAATATGGAAAGACTTGCAAATCTGCGTGCATTCAACAAATTGGTCATAGGCGGCACAATATTTCCACACAAACGTATGCACAAAGCTACATGGACCTCACCAGCCCACACCACATAGAACCAGATAGATCATATTTGCATCAATAAAAATTCCGAAGGACAATGGAAGATGTGAGAACCAGGAGGGGAACTGACATAGCTTCAGATCACCACCTAGTTGTGGCCAATTTAAAACTGAAACTAAAGAAGAACTGGACAAACAGCACCACAAAGGTTCAATACAGCCTTCCTTCGAGATACTGACAAACTCAATGAATTCAAGGTAGCTCCTAACAACAGGTTCCAAACCTTACAGGATCTACTGAAGGGAGAAGAAACTACTATGGAGGAAAACTGGAGAAGCATCAACGAAGCATTAACTTCAACGTGTCAAGAGGTTCTGGGCCTAAAGAAACACTATCATAAGGAATGGATCTCTATAGAAACACTGGACAAGATCAAAGAAAGGAAGAACAAGAAGACAGCAATCAACAACAGCCGAACACGAGCAGAGAAAGTCAAAGCACCAGCTGAGTACACGGAAGCAAACAAGCAAGTGAAGAAGAGCATCAGAGCCGACAAGAAGAAATACGTGGAAGAACTAGCAACGACGGCGGAAAAAGCTGCAAGAGAAGGAAATATGAAACAACTATGTGATACAACGAAGAAACTGACAGGAAAATATAGTAAATCAGAGAGATTGGTCAAGGACAAAGAAGGCAGAACAATCACTGAAATTCACGAACAGAGGAACAGATGGGTAGAGTACTTCGCGGAACTCTTGAATAAGCCGGCTCCAATGAATCCACCGGGC